AGACGTGTTCTAGCGACAAACGCCCAGCGCGCGGGGCTAGCCTGGGCCGGGCCTGGGCTAGCCCACCTCCTCCTGCTGCGCTGCGGTGGGAAAGTACTGGCCTGCCCGAGCTAAGCTGAGCCGGTGCGGCCGGCGGGCGGGGTGCGCCCCCCGGGCCGCAGGTAGGCGCGCTCGGCACGTTAGTTGACTCTCATCTGACCGCCGCGCGGTGCGGCGGCCGGCCGGCGTACTAGAATACGGTACGGCTCTTGCTTCAGCCGCTACCACGGGAAAGGCCGGCTCGTGCCGCCACCGTATCTCTCTACACCGTGCTCCGGGCTCACGCTGGAGCGAGCCGAGGATGAGTCAGCGGCCGGGAAGGGGCGGGATGCAGGGTTCGGCCGTCCTGCTATACTACGGGAAACCCGAAAATATGGGAATTCGGCCCAAGTCCCGAGGAGGGCGGTACGGTTGGCAACGCTGACAGAGAGTGCAAGCCTGGCGGAATGCGAGGCGACGCGAACGTGGCTGGACGCCTCGACCACACGGACACAACAGGCAGCCAGTCGAGGCGCGTGCAGCAGCCAGAGCGGTCACTTCACGGATTGAGCTAGAACTAAGATGGTATGCGCCCTTCCCTTTTGTCTGGTATCTTATTAATTGTAAATGTATAGTGGTATCAAATAATATCGCGTGTATAAATATTTATTCTCTAGAATGATCGTGCCATCAAGCACAAGTAAATTTGTCCACCGTCAGCTCAGTTTGTGTGGGGTTAGTGAAAGCCGATTCGAGCACCAACCTCAGGGGCTCCTGTGTACAACAAGAAGTTCAGGACGAGTAGCCATTTCCGTCCGAGCCACACGGGAGAAAGGCCATTTGCGTGTTTTGTGTGCAAGAGCACCACAATGAGTGGTGATCTCCGTACGCAGTTCAAAACGCACACAGGCGAGACGCTCCTGGAGTGTTCTCTGTGCAGTAAGAAATTCAGGAGGAGTAGTTATCTCCGCAAACATCTCCGAACGCACACGGGAGAAAAGCCGTTCGAGTGTTCTGTGTGCAACAAGAAATTTACGCAAAGTTCTTCCCTCCGTGCACATCTCCAAAGGCACACAGGTGAAAGGCCTTTCGAGTGTTCTGTGTGCAACAAGAAATTTGCGCTTAAACATGAACTCCAGACTCATCACCGAACGCACACGGGTGAAAGGCCGTTTGAGTGTTCTGTGTGCAACAAGAAATTTACGCAACGTGGTAGTCTGAGCACACATCTCAAAACCCACACCGGAGCGAAGCCCTTCGAGTGTTCTGTTTGCAACAAGAGATTTTCTCAAAAAGATAATCTCCGCACACATCTCCGAACGCACACGGGTGAAAAGCCTTTCGAGTGCTCTGTGTGCAACAAGAAGTTTAGCGCGAGTGGCAATCTCCGCACACATCTCCTAACGCACACGGGTGAAAGGCCCTTGGAGTGTTCTGTGTGCAGCAAGAAATTTACGCAAAGTTCTGAGGTCGGGGAACACCCCAGAACGCACACGGGTGAAAAGCCCTCCGGGTGTTGTGTGTCCAACTTGAAATTAACGACGAGTGGCCAGCTCTTCGAGTGTTCTGTTTGCAACAAGAAATTTTCGCAAAGTGGAGGACTTCGTACACATCTCCTAACGCACACAGGTGAAAGGCCTTTCGAGTGTTCTGTGTGCAACAAGAAATTCAGCACAAGTAGTCAACGCCGCGTACACTCCCGAACGCACACGGGTGAAAGGCCGTTTGAGTGTTCTGTGTGCAACAAGAAATTTGTCCAAAGTGGAGGACTTCGTACACATCTCCGAATGCACTCAGGTGAAAGGCCTTTCGAGTGTTCTGTGTGCAAAAAGAAATTCAGTACGAGTAGTCATCGCAACGTACACCTCCAAACGCACACAGGTGAAAGGCCCTTCGCGTGTTCTGTGTGCAACAAGAAATTTCCGCGTAGTTATGAGCTCCGCAAACACCTCCGAACGCACACAGGCGAAAAGCCTTTCGAGTGTCCTGTGTGCAATATGAAATTTACAACGGGTGATAGTCTCCGTCCACATCTCCGAACGCACACGGGGGAAAAGCCATTCGAGTGTTCTGTGTGCAAGAGGAAATTTTCACGAAGTGGTATACTCCGTAGGCATCGCCGAACGCACACAGGTGAAAGGCCCTTCGAGTGTCCCGTGTGCAACGAGAATTTTACGACGGATAGTACTCTCTCTACTCATCTCCTAACGCACACGGGTGAAAAGCCTTTCGAGTGCTCTGTGTGCAACAAGAAATTTACGACGAGTAGTAGTCTCCGCACACACCTCCGAACGCACACGCTAGAGGGACCTTTCGAGTGTTCTGTGTGCAACAAGAAGTTGACGACGAGTGGTCGACTTGAAATACATCTCCGAACGCACACGGGTGAAAAGCCTTTCGAGTGCTCTGTGTGCAACCAGAAATTTAGCTTGAGTAAGAGTCTCCACATACATTCCCGAACGCACACGCGAGAAAGGCTCTTCGATTGTTGTGTGTGCAACAAGAAGTTGACGACGAGTGCTCGACTTAAAACACATCTACGAACGCACACGGGCGAAAACTCTAAATAGCCGTTTTTTGTCAGTTTCAGTCCTGTGTCACCTTAATTAAA